CTTCATCTAACATTGTCCGATCATGTTGAATTTTGGATCTTTCTATCTGACTTTATAGGACACTGAATACTAGTATCATCTTTTAAATATTGTCTAAGACATCTTCAACTAAGTTTTCAGCGCGATGTGATCTTATAGAAAATCTTATTAAAAGACTTTTTTCCTCGAACATACGTCTCGTTATTTTAAGTACTCTACCTGTAGTAAAATTTTCATATGAATCGGTTGCATCATCTTCGACAACTAGAAATAGCCGAAAAGAAGAGAACATCATCAAGTCAGCAAAAATATCGATATGTCATAATCTTTACACCTGAATATGTTACTGAACTTGAGTTTATATCGAAACTCATCAGTACTAAGCCAATGTATATTTCTAAACATTAACTATTCAATAAACAGTTTGATATACTTGATAAGTAATATAAGTGAAGTGTTTCATTCATCAAATTACATGTATCGTTCCCATTTGTTGTTATTTTCGGAAAAATTATTTTCGATATTGTGCGCACTATAGATGAATATTTTATTAAAAAAAAAAAAAAAAAAAAGAAACAATGTAAAAATGGTATTCGTAAAATGATCACTTTTTAAATTAAAAAATTTTCCTTGTTTTTGTTAATAATATTAATATGAAATAATTATATACAGTGACTATCAAAATTATTCAATAAGGTTGTCTTAGTCGCTCTAAAAACAAACCAAATATTAATTCGAGATATATACAAGAAGAATATAAAATTGATTATAAGATTTTTTTTCGAAAAACTAAAATTCTACCTTTTCAGATCCTCGAATGTATATATATATATATAATGTTGTTTAGACTACGCCAAACGAGAGAGAGAGCGCGAATAATTTTCTACAAAATGAGATATTTTTGAAGTTTTTTGCTGAAATATAAGAATCATACAGAAGCCTCTCAAGTTATTAAATGAATTTATCTCAGCAGAAAAAAAAAACCGTCTAAAAACTCGAAAATATTCAGTTTTGTAAAACATTATTTGTTCTATCTTTTGATTTAGTCTTAAAAGTTTATATTCGCGTAGGTACGGCTATCTACTTTTCTGTATTGGTTTGTTTTTCTCGATTAAGACAGTACCCAAAAAAAAAAAAATAAATTGAAAATAAACTATATATTAAATAATTTTTGGTAGTCACTCTAAGTTTCTATATATATATATGTACAATGGAGAAAAATGGTTTGATCAATTATGACCATGCTTCCCATTCATCATCAAATTCGTTTCCTGCTTTTTTATTTGATGATGATGAAGGTAATGCAGCTGCTGTTGTTGTTATTGTTGATGATGATAAACTTTCAGAAGTAATTGTTTCTTCAGATTTTGTTAATGGATCTTCAAGAGATTTTAATGGTATAATTGATGAATTAAGATCTGTTTCATCAAATTCACGTTCCCAACTATCACCCGAAACTAAAGTAATAATTTTCATTTTTATAGTTTTTTTTCTTCTTTTGTACCTGTATCACTTTCTTTTCGTTGAGTATTTGTTTCTTCTAAATTTGTTGCTACTACTGTCGATTCTTGTTGTTCTACAGGAAGAATTTCTTGTTGTTCAACAGGAAGAATTTCTGATATTGGCTCTTGAGTTATATTTGATGGTTGTTTTGACAAATCTTCATCTATAAATGAAAAAAAAAATCATAAAATATACTGAGATGTGACAAAAATTTTGCAACATTTTTTTGTTATATATGTAACTCTCTATTCGAAAACATAATAAAATATTGATTTTTTTTTTTGTCCTCAAAAGAATACACCATTGAAGGTTCTAGACGAATTTCAAGATCAAATCTTTAACATTTCAAGTTAATTAGAATTTTAATGTGGTCTTCAAAACATGAGAATAAAATATTTTTATTGCTGTATTTCTCTCAAATATATCATCTAAAAATGATGAACTCGATGTATCAATTCCTATATAAAACTTCTATGATTGTTAAAATAAATAGTAAAAGAACAAACTAAACTTAACAAATCAATAGAATAAGAATTTGTTTTTAACTGAAGATGATGAAAATTTAGGTTTCATACAATGTCTGAGACGATCATTTTATTATTTAACATAAAATGGACTTTTCTGATTTTTTTTCTCCTTATGAAAAATAACACGATAACACATATATTCAATGTTAATAGTCTATTCAAATTTTAGAAAACTGTTTGATCTTATGATTCAAATAGAACATTCAATGGTGAATCTTTTGCAAAAAAAAAAAAATGTTCAAAACTTTTTGTCATATCTAATATATTCAAATAATTTTTACCAGGTTCATCCCAATCATTTTCATTATTTTTTCCAATCGTATCATTATTTTCTGAACATATTTCATGTGCACGTCGTAATAATTGTGTACGTCGTGCTTCATCTTCTTCAATAAGATGTAAACGATAATAATATCGTGACCAAAAATTATTATGTGTTGTATGTGCTGGTACAAGATGTGCATAAAATGAACGAACATTTGGAGCATCAATTAATAATTGAGCTATATCTCCTTTGAGTATATCAACATTAAAATTTGTTGTTTGTCGCCATGTTTCATAGGCTTCATTAGGAATAGGATCAGTTAAATATGTTGATTCATCATTTTGTAATCGAGTTAATTCATTCTAAATTAAAATAAGAAATTTTTCATGTTTTATCATATTTTATATTTAAGATCTAATAAAATTGATAGTTTTTATAACTCTAAAAAAAAAACAAAGTAGTTTATTACATGAATTCGATCGAATGATGGTGTTGTTTGTAAATGTGTTCCATTATCATTATTTGTTTTACCAATATCACTACTTAATTTTGATACAAATCGATTAATACCAAGTTCTCCAACCTAAATTTCATTGAATATAAACAAATTAATCAATTTTTTTTGTGTAAAATCTTACATCTTGACTTTTGATTTTATTTAAATAAGTTTCTGTATCACTTTTAACTGTTGTAGTAAATTCTGCTAAATCTCTACGAACAAAATCTAATGCATCGATCGACTACAAAAGAAAAAACCATTTCGTCTAATAGAATTCTTTGTTTTTTTTTTTACTTTATCACGAACTGATTGAATAGCTGATGTGAACCAACTAGACATATTTAACAATATCTACAAAAAGAAAAAATAATAAGAATTAAATATTATTTTTTGTTATCAATAAAAACAATAATATGCTTTTTATTTATTGCACTTTGTCAACATACAAAGAAATGTCTCATTTCATAACGATATATGCTTAGTAAAAAAAAAATAAAAATAATATGATAAAATAATAAATCAATAAATCCACAAAAGCTTGAATAATAATAACATCTGAATAAATTAATCATCACAACGAGTACCTTCACGAACACATGCAATTATATTTGATATACTAAGTGATGTACCAGCAACAAATACATACAAACCGAATACTAATATCGATATATTTAATATTAATCGCCATTTAAATCGACCAAGGTTATTTGGCCATAATGTTATTGTTTCACATATAGAAGGAAATATAAGTGACAGTGCTGTTGATGCTATAGCACCGACTGAATTTAAAAATAAAAATAAAAACGAAACTATTTGCTTATTCTTTTGGTTAGATAGAATAAAAAGTACAATACCTAATGATATGACTAGACCAAGATTTGGAATTAATGCAGCAATAGTAACTAAATTAAAAAAAAAAAAGAACAATATTTTAGTTTTATTCTACAAAAGAAGCAGGCACTATTCAGGTTTGATCATTTTCAGTTGACTCAAGGCACGTCCATAATTTCAAGTATATTTATAAATAACTAAACGTTTTGAATTTAGTCTAAGCTTAATAAATTTTAAGAAAAAAATCTTCATCGAAAAGTTCTTCAACTGATAAATTACTATTGAGAAAAAACTATGTATATTATATAGATTCAAATGAACTACGAATTCGGAAACTACAACATTCATTTAAAAAATTTCAAATAAATATAACAATGAGAAACGAATTTTTTTCAAGGTATTCATAATTTATTTCGCGTTATAGAATGCATAGTCTCAACTCAAAAATGATTTATCAATTGAATTACAGTGTTTCTTATTTTCAACTAATTGACTGAAAAACTTTCAACAAGTTTTAATTTATCGAACTTACGTTTCTCATACTGGCCAGAAGTTCCTGGACGTATGACAGTTCGAGTGAAATTCAATCGTTTTCCATGATATTTTTACTAGAGGCGAAACTGTGATCGTCAGTACCAATCCGAGCTCGAATATACTGAATAGAAGTGGAGTTAGAGATCAAATACTGCTGTCAGTTCGGTAAACACAATCTTGATAGTTAAAGAAATTTTCAATCTAGCTCACTCTTGCTTTTGAAGATTGCTACTTGTTATATCTCCGATATAAGTTTTTTAGAAGAAATTGGTGATATTCATAAACATAGCAAACAGAAAGTTCGAAATAATGGATGAACCAGGTTGAGAAATCCTTTAAATATCGAAATTATGCTTACCGGACTGAAAGTAGTATTTGATCTCTAACTCCATTTTTACGCAGCGTATTCGAGCTCGAATTGATACTGACGATCACAGTTTTTCAAGCTGCATCTTTGGTAAAAATATCATGGAAAACGATTGACCTTCACTCGAAGTTTTATACGTCCAGGGACTTTTGGTCAGTAGTGTATTTCGAATCTTCACTGATGTAGGACTGAAAACTTGATTATTGCAAATATAATGTTTTCACAAGACTTTCATCGTACTACCTGCATCTATTAATCTAATAGAATGAGAAGAAAATATTTAAGCCTACGATACTCTTGCATCTAAGGTAGACTTCAGTCTATTCAAGTCTTATGACAACCGTCACCAATGCAAATATCTCAAAAAAACACTTAAAAAATTTTCTAAATACTGAACACTATCAGAACTGATTAGATAGTTTTCAAACGTCGAACTAAAGTTCGATGTATTCTTGTTTTTGCTAATATGAATCACAAAAATCCTCTCACTTATTTATACTTCAAAAAAAACAAAAAAAGATTCTTTTGTGAATATCTAAAAAAAAGAAAATGTTTCATTCGAAATCTTTCTATTTGAAGATGTACGAAATGATTAAAAAAAAACCAATAAATCATTTTCAATTATTTAGTAGAATACCATAAAAATAATCTAGATCTTTAAAGATTGATTTTGATAAAATTTTTCCTTTTAATAGTCTTTATTCTATAACAACATATTTATATTATTTAAAGTCTAAAATAATAATTCATTTGTTTCATTTAGACTATAATTCAACTTACATGTTATTATAATAAGTCCAATACGAAAAGCATGTTCAATTTTTGTTTGTGTTCTAGGATTATATTTATAAAGAATTTTACGAGATATACGTGGCCAAAGAAGTGTAAATGGTACATAAAATTGAAGATTATATGTTAAAAATATTGCTATAGCATACATGATTTTTGTAAATTGATATAACCTATTGAAATAAATAAATACAATATATATATATATCAGAGGTCCAAACAGGCCACGTTTTTTTAGACTTGTCAAGTTTTTCAAGAGAGTATAATAATGATGACAGACTAGAAACCAGAGATCTCAACAGAGCACTAGGACTAGTGCTCAACCTGATCCTGACCTGCCTGTCATAGACATCACCTATGGTTTTCAGACTAGTGCAAGTCAGAGGTTCAAGCATTTTTGGCCTGTCACTTGCACTAGTCTGAAAACCATAGGTGATGCCTATGGCAGGCGGGTCAGGATCAGGTTGAGCAATAGCCCTAGTGCCCTGTTTGGACCTCTGATATATATATACAAAAATTTATTCTTTACTTATTATCATTTGGTAAATTTAAACTAATTGCACCACGTGCATTTGAACCATATCGAATATATCCAAAAAATCCAACAAAAAAATATACTATTGTTACAAGATACATTCCTGTATTTAATACTCCATTGCAACCATGATAAGCTTCAGGATCTTTCATTTTTTGTCGGATTGGTAAAACCTAAAGAAATCAAATTGTTTGTTTTTTTCTCTCTCACTCTTTCTTAATCATTTTCTTAATAACATACTAAAGCAATTCCTTCGAATACATACATTGCCGATGCAAAGAATACTGGCCAATCTGATGCTTTTGTTACTAATGGTAATTCATTAAGTGGTATATGTGAACGTACAACATACTGCATAATAATACATAATCCTATATTAATAAACAATTGTAATTTTTCTTATGAAAGAAATTTTCGAACTGATAAATCGACTTTGAATCGCGACTAAGTGCATTATGTCAAAAATAAGTTTTTTTCTGAGGAAGATCAAAGTATTTGTTTAAAAAATACCGTAAAAATATACTACAAATAAAAGCTTAGAACATGAACTATTTTCAGAATATTCATAGCTCATTTAAATCTGCATAAAATATATGGTGAATTGAGTGTATTGCTAGTTTCAACGACCGAGACTAATCCTGCACGTGTTAACTCACGTGTAACATTTACTAAAAAAAAATAGATAAAATCATGTTTTTATAATCATATTCACAAACGAAAATACAGGATGATTGTCTAAAAAATAATGAAGCGATATCTAGTCAATTATATGAATAAATGCAATTAGATAATCAATAAACTTTACTTGTTAAGTCACAGATTTGAAAATATCAGATAGTTTCTATTCATAAGCGATTTATCAATTGAAAGACTTTTCTTGTTAGTCTCTATTAGGATTTTCTTCTTCATTTTTACTTTACCTCCAAGAGTAATTACATTAGCAACAAGTGAAAATGGTGCAAGAATTTTTAAATTTCTTATCATTGAAAATCCAATAATAAGTACAAGCATAATTAATTGATAAATTTGTATTGCTGGACTATGTGTTGAATAATAATCAACAACTTGTTTTATACTTGCTGGTACAAAAACAAAATAAACCGAACAAAAACCAAGTTGAATTGCAACAATAAAACCATCAATAACAAATCTAATAGAAATAAGAAAAAAAATTTTAATTTTAATTATAAAATTAAATATATATGTAATTACTTTCCTAATTTGGCATGACGTTGTGCAAATCGCCAACGACATGTTTCTAATGTATATCGCATAATATCACCAAAATCACATTTCGATCTTGATGTACTATAAAAATAAATAAACGTTTTTTTTTTTTAATTTTTTCATGAAATTTTAAATATTAACCGATCTCGATAATATTCATGACATCGAAGTAATTGATGCATACAATAAAGTGTCATTGCACCCATTATCCAAAAAGCAATAGAACCAAACTATAAGAAAAAGAAAAAAGATTAAAGACAAAAAAAAAGAATTAATAATAACTAAAACATACAACTAATCCAGCTTTTGATAATGCATAAGGAAAAGCAAGAATACCAGCACCTACATTGCCTTTAAGTAAATGCATTAATGTTTCAGTATTTCTAAATAAAAGAAAACAAATATATATATATATATATGATCATTTTTAAATATGATAGAATTTTAGTTTATTTACGTTGTTCGATGTTCAGTTATATCACCAACAAGTGAAGCAACAAGTGGTGCAATCTAAACATATCATTATTAAAGTTTAAAAGTTATTCATGCAATAAAAATGTATTTTCAAATGCACTAATAAATTATGGAAACTTTGCTCAACAGTCTTTTCTTTTTTTGTATTATTCTAAGATATAAAAAAAACTGATCATTTTGATTGTCTAAATTATTTCAAAAAGTGAAAATTTATTATCAGGAATAGAATATTTATTTTTCTTCTATGTCATATCTATCAAAATTTTGAATAGAAAACAGCAAAACAAAATAATTCGTCTAATGAAAATACTTTAAACGAAAAAATCTTAGATAAGTTAATTACATTATGATAAAAATCTAATATATTAAAATTCTATATTTTTTTTTAAATAAATTTTAACATACAGCTTCATTTTCATTGTTTTCATCAATATGTGATGATATTGAATCTGTAAGGTCATTCGCTATTAATAAACTAGGATCATTAATATTTTCTGAAATCGATGTATTAGGTGATGTTTGAATATCTGGTGATTCAACCAATAATTCTATTTCACTATGACGTGATTTTAGCACCGGAGAGTTCGACATTGAATATCAAACGACAACAACAAAATAAAAACGAATCTAAATCTTGTTTTTCTTTTATTTTTATCTTTTATTCACATGTTGATTGTGATGATGATACTGCTCAACTCAATAACAAACTATTGAATTTAACCAATAAAAAACTTCTTTCGAACCTCCTGTCAAAAATATTATTGACATTGATTGTAACACACTCATTACTATTCGACGAATCCTGTATCATTCGTCACATGTGAATAATTCAATTGTTGTTTATACTTACTTTTTTTTCTTTCTCTTTGATGCAAAAGACAGAACAAGAAGAAAAAAGAAAAGAAAAAGATTATTTTACATTTAATTATACATGTAAATATTATTTTCCCTGTTCACTTTTTTTTTTTTACTCTTAAATCATTTTATTCGTAATTATGCCAAAGAAACCTATTGATATAAATAAACCTCGTGGTCCAATAACAGCTTATGCATTATTTGTTCGGACATGTCGTGATGAATTACGTCGAAAATATCCTCATTTAACTGTTGATTATAATGTTATTGCTAAAAAATGTTCCGATCGTTGGAAATCTATGAATGATAATGAAAAAAAACGTTTTAATGATATTGTTGATTTACAACGTAAACGTTATAAAGAAGAACTTGCTGTTTATCAACAAGAACAATTAATTAAACAACAACAAAACCAACAACAACAAGAATTACAAACATCATCAATATTACATCAAACATCATCAACACAATATTTTATTGAACCAATACAACAACATACAATTGTTAATATACAAAAAAAATCAATAAAAAAACGTGAACGAAAACCAAAAGATCCACATGCACCAAAAAAACCTTTATCGGCTTATTTTCTTTTTTGTGCTGATGAACGACCAAAAGTTATAAGTTTACAAACAGGTAAAAAAATATAATAAACTACTTCTGATAAATGAATATTAAAAGTCAACTAATTGAAAGTTTTCTATAAAGATTTAATTTCAATGCATATGATAGTCGTGTAGACAAGATTTTAATAGTAAGAAGCTTAATAGAATTTGATGAAAGTTTTCCAGTTATCTACAATGATTTTTTAATTGAAATACATCAATCTTACTGAAGGCACTACAGATTGCTTTTTTCTATTAGTTTACATAGAAAGATCATTTTTTGGTGTTTTTTTCGTAAGGCTACTGTATCTTGGTCATAAGAATGTTTTCAAGGCCTAGAAGATGTTTTATTTTGTAGAGAATTTCATGAGATAAAACAAAAAAAAAAAACAGAAGATAAAAGCTTGTTTTTCAGAGATTTTATCCTTGAAAATCATTTACATGTTTAAAAGTAAAGTTTTCTATTCGTATATTGAATTAAAATATATATTTACATATATTCATGAAAAAGTTTTATATACACGATTTATATTGTATTGATTACTTAATCCGAATTTTTTCAGTAAGAAATATGTTCGTATCCAATGGACAATTAGTTTTATCACAGTGTGTAAAAAGCTCGAGCGTCTAAAAAGTAGCTTTCTAAATCGCTAGAAATTCTGTAAGTCAATGATCTTCACCTTTTATAATATAATTTTTATTAGAAATATTTCAATATATGATAGGTTTCAAAACATGCTACTACGCATAAATCAACATTGCACTCCTTGCACTCGTAAATGCAATATCATCCATGTAAACAGAACAAAAGGAAATATGTATAGAATACGCATGTGTGAGAGTGCTATACTATGATACTGACGGATGGCAGAATAGGAGACAAAACCCTCAAGTACAAGTCCTACAGATTTAACAAACTACTTCTTTCAATTTTTTAAGACAGACGAAACGAAGAATTAAAAGCTTCGCATTAGAAATGTATCATCCCCATTGGTCTTTCTATCTTTGTAATAGATAGAACTTCTCAAATACTCGTATCAAATTGTACTTGGAGTCGTATTACTACGGGCATATAATGAAAAACTCCGCCGTCCCATATATGGAACACCCGGCGCGAAAGGGTTAAATGAATAGAAGTGAATATCTATTGTAATAATCAATTGATTATTGGAATGAAATTTCGTATTCGAAAAAAGTTGATTTTACAAATTATTAATAGTATATAGTTTTATATAACATATAGAAAATTTCTTAGAATTTTATTCTATCAAATAATCAATAGACAGTAAATGATATACACACTAGTAAACAGATAATTACAATTTAGTTATAGTTTAAAGAGCTACGTATGTTGTTTAATTAATATACATTGTCCTATCTGTTATTTAGTAGAGAAAAATTTGTTTTATTTAAATTAAACTATTAGATTTATAATAGGTCAAGACTTATTTCTGGTCGCATGAACTATAATAACTACTGTACTCTAAGCAATAAATATTGGGTGACGGACATTTCGCACTAAGTCATTCCGAACTCCTGTCATGTGTTCGGAAATGACTTTTGTCTTGGACAAATTTCATTACGAACACCCTGTTTTTTTTAAATTTTTGATTAATTTTATCATCCCGAACATCTTGTCTTATGTCCGGAGATCGTAATGAAAAGGTGGTGCGAAATGTCTCATTCTCATAAATATTCTCCTATTCATGTACAGAACAAAGAAAAAAAAAAACTACTTTACAATTAGAAAAAATTTAAAATTTATTTAAATATAATCAATATCAAAAAATATTTTTTCTTATAATCATCTGCATTCAAAATATGATAATTTTATGATAAAAAGTTTTTTTTTTTTAATTAAGATTTTAAAGAAAAATTTCATATTAAATATATAATAAAGAATAATTAATAAGTTAAATAGCCTAGATTCAATGTTTAATAAATAATCTATTAAAATATCATTAAGAAAAATATTTAGTTGTTTTTAAACTTTGTCACATTAATCAATGTCAATCTGGTCTTTATTGTTTCTTTTTTTTTCTATTTTGAGTACAAAATCATATGTGAGTAACATTTGTTTTTTTTTCTTTCTTTCCTTCCAAGCACAAATATTTTTATGATTGTATCAAAAAAAAATTTCTTTTATTTATTGTATTAATCATATAGTAATGTTTAGGTTATATCGACATGCAATAAAAAAGAAAAAAAAACTTATAACAAAATTGAATGAAAAGGTCTCTCAAAGTAAATATTTGAAATAAATTTTACTTTAATAGTATTAAACAAAGTTTGAGACTCATGTATTTTAAAAGTCGTCATGAACTTATGAATTCAGTCTATCAAATATTATATTTTATTTTTATTAAAGTTTATAGAGTAATGTTGAAAATATTTTTACAATAATAAAAGGTCAAAAGAATCATACCAAACAATTGTTATCATACTCATTAATATTAGTAATTAACAAATAAATTATAGTTTAAAATAGAGTATTACCTTTGTCCCCAAAAAAATCTTTGCTTTATCATTCTAAACACATTGTTCTTTGTGTTTTAAAAACATACAGGTGCATAAATTTATTTGTGAATAATCATTATCAATATTTTATCTATTTTTTGTATACAAAAAAGGTATGTCAGTTAGTGACGTTGCACGAGAACTTGGTATTCGATGGAAACAAACACCTGCTGAATTAAAAATAAAATATGAAAAAGTTGCAACTGAAAAAAGACATGTTTATCAAACTGAACTAGCACTTTATAAACATCAATCATCAACGAATATGTCATCACCTGAAACTCCTTCAACACCATCGACATCTCATGATAATCATTTAACATCATCTACAATACCTATTCAACAATCTTCAAAAATACAATTTGATAATAATGATATAAATGAAAATCAAATTACTTTTAATACAATAAAAAATGAAAATAATGTCTAATTAATTTAAACGAAGATATTGAACAATTTTATATTTTTCTTTGTTTTGTGTTGTTGTTGTTGTTGTTGTTGTTTTTTTTTTAATGCCTTTATTTTTCATTCAGATATCTATTCTGGTGCTTTTTGTATAAAACAAAATGAAAAGAACTATATCAGAATAGATAATATTGAATGTATTTTGGTTTTGTTCTAGAGATCATTCATTTTTTTAAAAATTACTGATAAATAATGATCGTTGAAAAATGTTTGTTGCAACTTCATCAACATTAAATAATAGCCATCCACCATCATATATTGTTGCTGCTACAACAACTACAGCAACAAATACAAACAATGGTATTGATCCAACAACAACTAATACTACACCACAAACATTAAGTGATATTAAAATAATTTGTATTCAAAGAAAAAAGGTTTGTTTAAATATTATTTGAAATTTGTTTTTGTTTTTGTGAGAGAAGATTTACAAGTAATTAATTATTTCTTATCTAAAGAAAATATCGGCTAAAAATTTGAAATCTTAGTAATATAGATCCAGCAATTGGAAACATTCTATAGTATTTATTTATTTACTAGACTCTATCGATTGAATAAAGTCTCAGATCGAAAGCAATTTATTACTTGAAGATCGTTTCTCGTTAGGGTAGATTAAATCAAATGAATAGAAATTTGCATCGAAGTCTAATAGTAATATAAGAATAGTTATTAATAAGGCAATCAATTTGTTCAAGGTTTTTTAAATATCAGATTCAAAGATTTGTGGAATCGTTGTTTTTTTTTGGGTTTTTGACTTCAGTTATAAATTCAATCCGTTCTTGGTGATTTTAATTTTAGATTTTATTTCAATCAAATCTGAAAAAAATTCTTCAATACCCATTTTTCGATTATTCTCTCAAAACCATAGAGTATTTACCTATAACTTTGTGTTCGATTTCGGATAAATTGTTTTCGTAGTCTCAGTTTATCTCAACAATTACGTAAGTCTTTAATCATGTCGTAGTTTTAAGATGACATGATTTCATTACATTTTTTTTTTATTCTGAAGAAATATAGACGATTGTTTGTGTTACAATGATGTATAAAGAGAAATTTGTTTCAAACTTTCTATACGGTATAATTCTGCTCGTATCATAACTGATGTCTACACTAATATCTCACAGAATTTTGTGGAGTATATGGTATACTATTATAATGCTCGAGGGATTTTGTAAGGCAACAGAAGAAACTAATTAGCCTTTGTAAAGTTGGTTGATAAGCCAGAAGACTACGAAGAGTATAGACTTAAGACAATTTCCTTATTTTCTAATTGAAAATATGTTTAGAAATGTTTGTATTTATTTTAATATAAAAGTATAATAAAGTTTTGAGATAAAATTAATTCTACTAATCTAAACATTCGCATTATTCTAATAAATTATCCTCAATAAGTATTCTCATCAGCTGAAAACTGTAACAATTTACATCAACTTTAATCATTAACGGCATATAGATATTCATGCACTACAAATTTCATATCTATCAATCATCAATTATAGTTTGCGACAGCTGTTGAGTTTTATATAGATTGAAAGAGAAATTTTCCTTGAGATTATAATTATAACTTGTATTCAAATTTGTAAAAAATTTTTGTTTTTTTTTAGAAAACTAAACGTCATATATATTTAACATTTGTTGAAAGTTGTTCATTATCATCAACAAATGAACAACCATGTATTGAAATAATTCGTAAATCAAATTCATCATTATCATATCTATTAAATGAATGTATATCATTTGAATATTTTGATACAGTTAAAAATGATTTTCAATCATTTATTTATGCTTATTTTGAATCATATACAATATCAATATTTTTTTCTGATGATAATCTCGATAAAAAATCTTTAATTATTAAACATATTGAATATATGTTACAAAGTAAAATAGACAAAACATCAACATTAAATATTAATTCTTCATCACAAGATTCAACACAATCTCAATCATTATCAACAACAATACAACAACAATCACAACAACAAACATCTGTATTACCATGTCCACCAACAACAGAACATATATTACATACATTTGATATAAATTTAATTCCATATGGTTCAATTATAAATCGTGATCATATATTAATTGGTCCAGCACGTCTTTATTTTACAACAACAGATTTATATATTTCATCTATATATTGTAATAGACAAGATTTAAAAATAACAATTACAAATCAATGTCCATCAAATGATAAAGCTATTTTATGTATACCATATTTTACAATAAAAAATTATGGAAATCGTTCAAATATATTTCTTATTGAATTAGGTAAATCAAATTATGGTAATGGTGAAATACATATGAAATGTTATTCATCATCATTAGCAAGTACAATACATTTATTAGTTAGTCCTGTTATTGAAGAACGTCCATTAATACTTTCATCAGCATTTCAAAATCAATTATTAACGAATAAACGTATTGAAAAATCGAAAAATATACATCCACCTATACAACTTAATAATGATACTGCAAATCAATCAATATTAGATTCACCATTATCATTTATTAAAAATAAAAAAACAATTGAAAAAACTGATAGTAATTCAAATACAACAACAACAAATGAAATAAAATCACATTTAATTGTTGGATTTTTTCGTACATTAACTAAAAATGTTTCAAATTTAAGACGTTCAGCAACGTTTCATAGTAATAATAATAATAATAATAATAATGAACAATTATTAACAATTAATAATAATTTATTATCAAAAAATAAATCTGTTGCATTTAATATTGATGAAAATAAATTTCATAATGATCAACATCAAATTATTTTACCTGAATATCAAAAAAAAACTGATTCAACATTAAGTGTTTCATCAACAATGACAAAACAAACAAATGAAACAATATTAACATCAACATCAACAATTAATACAAATAAACAAGAAACAACAATGGGTACATATATTGATATGGGTTTAACTATGCAACATTCAAATCAAAATCAACAACAAGAAATTCATGATGAAATTATTACAAAAGAACCAACAGCAACTGCAGAAATTGGTGTTAATAGTAAGTTGTATCATTATATTCAATGAATTATCTATCAAAGAGTAAAATCGATCTGATCCTTTAGCTAACCGAAGGGAATTTCGACTTTCACTAATAGACTCTCAGGTGTTTTGCCAACGTGTTCTTTGAAATTTCGCTGATTAGTGAAAGTGCAGTAGAGTTCCGGTAATCTTAATCGAACGCAATTGAATTGATTTAGAGCTTTTGAAAAAAACAATAGGTGAATCAATTCAAACTAAAAATTTCATGAAGAATGATTTCAAAAATTATTAACAAAATTCTTGGTAAAATATTTTTTGATTTCGTTTTTCTTTTTTGTAAGGCAATGCAAAATGAAAAGAAATTTTAGTTTGAAATTCTTTTAAGTTAATTCATTGTTTTTTTTGTAATTTATTGACTTTAGTGAGAATTATGAAGGAAGTCATACAACTGATTAATTGTCTTTGAGTCTAGACTATGTACGTGATGTAGATCATTATGACCTATGAATATGTTGAAAAAAGTTTGAACTTTTTGATTATCATATTTTGAAAAAAAACAATAATAATTATTTATTTATTTATTTTAGCTACTATTAGTCTATCACCTCATGTTCGTTCAGCAATTATAGTTGGAAATTCAGTTCATTTAATAGTTGATGGTATAAAAAAAGAAAACAGTATTGAAAATAATAGTTTTTTAATTTATTTAAATTATTCTAGATCATAATGTTTTTCCTATTGGTCAACGTTCATTTACTTCACCTGCTAGTGTTATGCAACCATTTAAAACTCAATTAAGTGGTCAAACAATAACTAATGGTTATGGTATGTATCACTTTTTAGTTTTTTTTGTGAAACACGATCTGAAAGGAGTGTTTAGGGTAGAAATTTTGGACCCCCCCCCCCCCCCCCCCCCCCCCCCCCCCCCCCCCCCC